TCATACGCAGCTGTCATCCGTACGCAAGGAAGTAAGCACAAGATGCCGAAAACCCTTAGCAGGATGCAGCGCACCCTTCATGCGACTCGCCGAATATCTCACGGCGCTTCGCGCTTGGTGATGTGAGAGCCTGGTCCGGTGAGAACCAGGCGTGCTCCGTCCCGGCTTTTGTAGGGATGCGAGGTCAGTGGTCTAACGACTACGGCATGCACGACTATTGAGTACACCCCCCCTTAACACCGAGCATTGGGTCATGTCAGTGGCATCGAAACGTTTATGGGGGTTTCTCAACAAAAGTCTTCTCCGCCAGAGACAACAATGCCAGGAAGAACCCTCCTTTCTTCATGTATTGACATAACATCTTCCTCCATGGGAGTACACCTCAGTACAATATGCCTGCCGAGCTGGAGTGCATTGGTCAACAGTACATGTATGGAAGAAACTTGACGGCATATTCTCCCGATTTTGTTCTTTTGTGAAGTGCGTGTAGATGATTCGAAGGATGCTTTGAGCAGAGGCGTGGTTGTACTAGCACCCCTTTTGACCCTGCTTCATGCCAAAAACCTCACAGAGTAGAACGAAAAACACACTAAAATAAGTTTCGTAAAAATACGCGCACCTTTTTCTCGTAGCAGGAACGGCAGAGATCGAAATCGCAGAGCTTGCACCTCCACGCCTTGGCGTCTTGACTCTTGATTCTCTGCTGACATATGTCGCACCGATGTCCAGCCATCGACCCCGGGAACAATCTACGAAAAATCGCCGCCATTGTTACATGATCCGTGGATGATGATTCGAGGTGAAAATAGCGGGTGTGAAGGAGCGAAAGAGGAACAAAATAAACGAAGGGAAAGAAACTGTCGCCGACGGAAGGGGGCGCGCGACATGAGAACGGGGAGGGGGGGGGTATCCTTCTCAACCTAATAAAGGGTAGCTTGGGGTGAATCACCATAGCGTGTGCGCTGTCTCCGTGCCGCGGTCCCATCGAAAACACCGCCAACAAAGATGTCTGCGCGGGCGAAGGAAAGAGAGAGAGCGTGACTGGAGCAGGCTGTATGTACCATGGGGGGCACGGCTGGTCGAAAATCAACAAGCCTCGAACACGGGGCACGCCGCCCAGCCCAGGAGGGCGCGTGTTTGCGTACGCAACAAGTTGCACCATCTCGAAAAGGTCAATACGGCTCCACTCGATTGGCGACTGTGAGGTTGATCGGGACAAAAACGTCTGGGGAACACCGTTCTTCCGCCATTTACGTCCTCCATGGCGACTGTTGTCCCCGACGCAATGTCGCATCCGACCGCCGTAGGAACGGAGCTTCTTGGCGCAATTGATACCAAGCGATCGAACCGACACCTTGGGTTCTAAACCTAGCCAAACCAACTCATGCTTCCGAAGCGTAATGCTGTCTGCTGCTTCGGTCATCGTAGAAACCCAGGTAGCTGACGCTACATATGAATTCACTGCGAGTTTATCCTAGGCCCTTATCTAAGAGTAGAGATGGGATTTATTGTGGTACATTCAGAAATATAACAAACAAGCGTGTAGATGTAGGTGTTGGCTTCATCACCTGTGAGGGTGAAGGGAGGGCTCCAGAAGACCCTCCTCCATCGTCGCGTCGGCGACGAGCTGGTTAAGGGCCCACACCATCGCGTTCAGCCACAGAACGCCGATACCCATGAGAAGTCCCTCTGGAACCTCCTTCGTGAAGCGAAATCTCACGCATTTCACGCCAGTGTACACCTGGGCGTGGGACAACAGAGGGCGGGGGGACGAACCGGGGGGGGAAAGCATGTGAATTTTTAACCGTCTAAACAGATACAAGACAAATCTGAGCGAATGCGATCGGAACTTTTATTTCTACCGAAACCAAACATCACCCAATTTTCTTTGGAATCGACCTCTATCCAAGCCACGGGAACGGCCCACGGATCCGAGGCCGACGCCGGCAGACACTCGTCCACAAGCAAGAGGTACACCGCCACACACTCGCCGTTTTCCTGCGAAAACGATCCCCATGACCGTACGACCCACCTGCATCGCCGTGCTCAAGGCAAACATGACGACGAGGAACGCGCTCTTCTTCCTCTCGGCAAGCGCCTCGGCCGCCTCGGCCCCCGCCGCCGCCCGCTCCGCATCCTCCTTGTCTCGCTCCCTCCGCGCCCCGTCTGTCTCGATCTCCGTCTTCGTCAGCGTGTCCCCCTCCCCGATCGCGACCGATTTTTCCTCCGACGCGCCTCCGTTGATGGACAACCCGCCACCATTTTCGTAACCGATGCTGTTTACTTCGTCGCTCCTGCCCGCGCCCCCGCCATGGGTGCTCGACAACAACGGGAGGTGTAAGGACTCCCCCCCCTCCAAAGAGTTGAGGTCCGACGACGGAGCTTGACGCCGGCCGCTTGTGCCTCCTCTTCCTTCACTTGTGGCTGACTCGCTGACATGGGTGTGGGGGTGATATCGGAGGGGGAGGACGGGTGGAGAGGGGACATCCGAAATCCGCCGAAGGAGCAACTTACTTTCGAACGCTTCGCTCAAGGCTAATACACGGATACGCGCGCTTAGAACTCGAGGGAAAACCAACTTAGCTAAGGCGGGGAAGGGGGGTACTGCTGCAGGTACATCGGATGCTAAACGTAAAAGTAGCATGGCACCCTACTAAGGAAGGACTGCGAGCCCTCATTTGCAACAAAAAAGCTCACCACTGGGTACTGTGGGCCGGTCGCGGGCTTATAACGAGGCTTCAGATGGGCAATAATGTGTGTCGTGTTGGGAGCCGGTTGACGAGCGATCTCGATCCATCTCGACTGTCTCCTGGTGCAATGTTCCCCGTCCCCCCTGACAACAAAAAAAAAAAACTTACCCGTAAACAAAGCAGCTGCAGACGCGGCGCCAGAAAGGTTTCTTCTTCCCAGCCACTTGGTTCGTCCGCCCCCGTCCGGCACGGGAAGAGTTGCCATCAGAGGCGTTATCGGCACCGCTCGCCGTCGACGCGGGAGCCGCGTTTGGCGGTTTTCCTTTGGTGGCCGCCAAAAATGCGATCAGCGGCAGCACCGACAGCCGCGCGAACACAAGCAGCAGAATGTCGGCCGTGTCCTTGGAGAAGTTCTGGGGGCGTTTGGCGATCGGGGGGGGGAGGGTGGTGGGGGATGCAACGGGAGCGGGCGAAAAGAAAAAACGCAGGTGTTGGGTACGTTTTGCTGAGAGGGAAGGGCGGGGTGAAGGTGCGCAGGCAAGGGGGTGCATCCTTGTGGAAGATAAGGGGACGTGTGTTGTGAAGCGTAGCGGTCGTCGCCACGACGAAATAAGAGGGTGAAGCACACCCCCTAGACCCAAAGCAAAGTTCCCAAAAAACAGAGCTCCGGAGCGCCAAGTATCCGCTCCTGCCGCTGCGCGATGCTCAAGCATTCACGGATAAACCAAAAGCAAAGCAGGTTGTATCGGACTTCGATTGTCGAAAGGCAGGGAAAGAGATAAAAACAATATTCGCAGACACCAAACACGAATAGACGTGGATGCACGCCTCCTTCTCGGGGAGAGCCACAAGGACTGAAATCCCCAACGCACCGACAACGAGGGGCTTCGATCTGCGGCCACGAACACGCTCAAAAATTAGATGAAGGACAAGAACGAACCTGGTCTCCCCACATGTGCTGCAGCATGACCAGCGGGCCCCACGACCGCGGGGCCCACGAATGGACCACCCCGTAGAGGGCCACGGCGCAGCCCACGTCCGCGACGCCGATTAGGCAGGCCACGCACACCAGGAAGGACGAGGCGGAAACGTCCGTGTAGGAGCGGATCGCCTCGAACAGCGAGACGTCCGCGGTGCGCCTCCATCGAGGCGGCATGTTCTTTGAGAGGGGCTCTTCTTTGCTGGGTTGAGGGGCAGGCAGCAGGAGGAGTTGGAGGGGGGGGGTGCGGAGGAACATTTGTTTGAGAAGGAGAGCGGTGTGACTGACAGGAGGGAGCGGGATGCCTGCAGAAACGGCACCCGTCCGTTTGAGAGGCGAATGCACTTACTTCTTCCGTGTGTGAGCACTCTGACGTGCTCGGGCCTGGTGTACGGGGCGCTTGTGAAGCCAATGGAAGGGCGGGACGGGGGGTGCAGGCACGGCGGGAACCAAGGAACTGCCGCTTGTACCTTACCGGGTGGGAACTCCGCTACCGGAGGAGGTGTGTATAGGAAATCCGTGACGGCTTGAGTGTCCGAACAAACTTTGTTAGCATGGGATCGCGGGGCGATCGGCGTGCTCCAGAGCTGCAATTTTCGGCATGTCACCGTCGAAGCATGCGAACGTTGCTCTTGACGCGTCGCGAACCTTCAAAGATTTGTTGTTGTTGTTGTCTTTACATTAAAAACCGTTCCGAACTCTCTCTACCCAGTACCTTTGTATGTCCGTACTGATCCAACACTCGACGCGGTCGATTCCCGTGGTTGCAGGATACTTACCCTACAAAGGTACACTCAAATAAAATGGCCCCGAGGGGTCCGCAAGTCATTAGAAACCAACGACACATATTCTGCAGTCCTCCACTCCCTCTGCGCGCTATGCGAGGTAACAACTGAAACTAGGAGTCACCATCACGGGCAGGAGAGAANCGTGGTTGCAGGATACTTACCCTACAAAGGTACACTCAAATAAAATGGCCCCGAGGGGTCCGCAAGTCATTAGAAACCAACGACACATATTCTGCAGTCCTCCACTCCCTCTGCGCGCTATGCGAGGTAACAACTGAAACTAGGAGTCACCATCACGGGCAGGAGAGAATGAGGAACACCCCCTTGGTTCAATCTTGGTACTTCACAACGCAAGCAGAGACAAGGCCATCTGGCACAGAAAAAGAGAGAAAAGGAGAAAAAGAGAAGAAGGTAAAAGGAAACAGTAAGGGAAGAGAAAACGAAATAAAAAGAGCGAGGACAACAAGGGACCAGGCCGAAAATAACAAAAAAAAAGAGACAGAAAAAGGCACACGGTGTGGAGAACACCTTCATAAAGGTTGNTCACAACGCAAGCAGAGACAAGGCCATCTGGCACAGAAAAAGAGAGAAAAGGAGAAAAAGAGAAGAAGGTAAAAGGAAACAGTAAGGGAAGAGAAAACGAAATAAAAAGAGCGAGGACAACAAGGGACCAGGCCGAAAATAACAAAAAAAAAGAGACAGAAAAAGGCACACGGTGTGGAGAACACCTTCATAAAGGTTGACCCGTGTCTTTTGCAACCAAAAGCAGACACCTGACATCTCTTGTCGACGCCATTGTGGAAAAGAGGGTTTCGTCCTCGAAAGGCGTTGGGGAGTTTCAACCTTACGAAGGTGTTCTCCACAACGGTGGAGACATCACTATTATAATAATGTTAAGCAAACACGCAAAATGCAAAGGTTCGAAGTAAGAGCTCCTTCCCTCGCCATCGACAGAAAAACGTGCAGCGCAAATTGACGTGGACTCAAGTCATAGTGTTGACATGACACATGGACAACGTAGCCTAGCGTCTCTCACCCTTCTCCCGTGTCCTGCACTGCACGTTCTACAGAACGCCGTGAGATAGAATACGGGACAATCTGGGACAGAACAAGGTGTCAAGATTGTACTCACTCGCTGAAACTCAAGTTGCGAGATAAAGATCCAGCTAACGACCGAGAGGCTGCAGGGGCGCGGCAAAGGGCGAGGTGCTGTGCTTGAACAGGGATCCGGCCAAAGCTCCAAAATATCTGCTGTGCATGCGCGCTGCAGCCAGCCCGTGGCATGAACGAATTGGCGGGACTGTCCAGATGTGCGTGCAGGACCGTTCCGGATTTTCCGACCGGTGCGCAGCCCACTTTGCTCACTGCTAGTAGGCAATGTCTCCAAGCATCACGGACAATGAACCAGATCTTACCTCTGAAAGAAGGCAACGCTCGTATCACCAGAACACCTTGGCGGTGTAGGTGCTCTCTCGCTGCCGTGTGCTCGGTGGATGTGTCTCGTGCCTGGTGCAGTGAGCAGTGCGCTGTGAGGGGGTGGTTGACAAAGGGGCACCGGCGAATGTTCCATCCCCCCCCGTGGCAGCACCGCAGGGCGCAGAGAGCAGATCTCTGTCCTCACCGCCGTGCACGGCATTGCGTTGCGTTCTCTCTCTCCCTGCCGTTTGACGCGCGTGTTGTATTGCGTGTTTGTGTACCAAGCTTCTCGCTTGCTACGTGGCGTCACCTGGTAAATTGACAAGAGTATCCACATGGGGGTCGTTTGAAAAATAGTGTGAGAGGCGGAACAATCTTCGGTTGAACTCCTGGGACGATCTGTCGACACGTTGTTGCACGCTGCGAGAGCGCTACGACGAGGAAGCAAGGGATGGCCTCTGCAGGCGAACCAAAGGGGGGAAGTCCTGCTGTACTTCCTGCTTATGGTGGTGGTGATCGTGACAACATCATCAGCAGCAGGACTGCTGTTCCTGCCCCCCGCCTGGTAGACGCCTCGTTTCATCATCATCCGGCAAGGGCGCGGCCACAGCAACGAGGGCAGCACCGGGATAGCGGAGGGGTGATGCATGTCCCAGGCAGGATTCTAGCCACGCTCCAGCGGAAATTTTGGGATAGCAACAAGGTAAGTAGTTTTGTCGAGGAACTCAATCTGTCGTTTGGCTCGTGGGAAACGTCGGTTGCCCGACCTCCGACAACGGCGTCTACGAGTCTCACTCTGTATAGGCAGCCAATGTAGACCGTACCAGTATCATGCGTTGGCGACAGCCTTGGCTGGCCTACAGCAGTAGATGTTTGTGAATGTGCATGTTTGCCGTCTGACACTGGTCGAGCGGAACTGCGTCCGGGAAACACCACGTGTAAGGGCTTTGGTGCTTTGGTGCCCTGTCTGGTTCGGTTCCCCACTGCGGTGCAGCCAGTTTACTGACCGCTTCGGTTCAGCGTAGGAAGCCCCGAAGCAAAAGCTGGTATTCAGTACGAAGTAGAGTTTCCCAGTTCCCGGCCATTTTCCCACAAGTTTCTTGATTGAATCTTGTTCGTCCTCATACCTGCTGCATGCCACTGGTGGCAGTTTCGCGTATCCTCTCCGACTTCGATACTGTTGTTCCCGTGGCTATTTTGTCTCATTCTCTTCACCGGTAGGGAGTGAGTAGATCTAGACTCACGCAGCTTGCCAACACCTACCTTCTCACATATTCAAACCCGGCAACGGCCAGAGCACGACGAAATCACTGCTGCTGCTGCTGCTGCTGCTGCTGCTGCTTTATATGCCCTGTAGTTTCCCGGCACATGTCGGCACTGGGGAGTGGTTGACAATTGCTAGTACTGCCTCTGGCAGACGCGTAGCTACGGTCGACCCCCCCCCCCACACAACAACGTATGTACGTAGAGCGCATCCCATGCACAGCGACTTTGAGTCTACCCCCACGTGCGACAATCGCCAAGTCATGTTTCAGCGACGCAGCAAGTAGTGACGATTGAAAAGGTGGGGGGCGAGGGTTAAAGGCGGGGCGGGGCGCCAACAAACGTTTTGGCTTGGCGGGCTGCTCGAGGCGGGGAGCCTGGAACTCCGGCAAGAAGTAGGTGTATGGGCATCGAGGAGGGTGCATAGTCTCGAGGGATGTAAACCATGGCACTCCCGGAATCAAGTTTTGAATGTTGAAAATAATCCAAATGCCTTTTCGTGTTAACCGTAAGAGTGCATGGCACAACCCCCTTTGGCCGTTCTCCATGTCCAGGTTACACTTGCTCTTGCTCATGCCTCATCTGAAACACCCTAACGAACGTGTCCTGCCCCTTGGTTGTCGCGGGTGTTGGTCTTCCGCAGATCGTGTCGGACAACGCGGTTTTCGCGAGGGATTTCTTGGCGGGAGCGTACACGGCCAGCAAGGACAAGGCAGGGGAGGTGGCCGGGGCTACCGTTCACAAGACCCTTCAGGCACGTGCTGCTGCTGCTGCTGCTGTTGCTGCAATATTTGTTGTTATTGGCAACAAACATTTTCGAAGCGGCCAATAGTATTCAGAGGCGTTTCGGAATCCGATAATCACCGCCCGCTCCCGTCCCTGTGTGTCACACGTGCTTGCACAATGCACTCCCCTCCCTCCTCCCACCATAGCCTCCTCCTCTGTTGTCTGCAGGTGTACAAGTTTGCGCGCGACCAGTCCACGACCGTAGAGTTACCGGGCCCGCTGAAGCCCGTGAGAGACCACGTCCTCATCCCTTCATTCAGGCGAGCGAGCTCTCCGGGGTGTTACCATACGTTTCGTTCAGCCTCAACATTTGTTGCTAGGTTTAGAGGTGGTGCGGGGTATCAGGGGACACAGTTTCGAACCACCCGCCCCATCACTAGTCTAACCTCTTCTAGTGCTTTCAGGGGTATGGCTTTCGCATTTGTGTTCCGGGGCGTGGAGGCGAGTGATGCCTTCTCAGAACACCTACTGTGAAACTTTGCTCTTTGTCCATCCTGGTCTCTTCTTTGGGTGTGCGCTGCCTTTTTCATTACCCCGAAATCTCCGAGACTGCCATGATGGGGGTCGGATCGACATCTGGTGGCCTCTTTCGTGGTCGTTCCGTGTGCATGGGTTTGTGCGTACATCTACGCTTAGCCCCCCTAACGGCGTCAGTCTCGTCTGTGTCGGCGATCTCTGCGTCTACGCGTCTGTGGTTGTTTGATGCACTTGTTGTTGTTCCGCGATTCAGGGGCGTCGAGAGGTCGGTGGAATTTCTGCTATCGCCCCGGCTCGGGCAGGCGTACCAGCACCTTAAGGAGCACGGGAGCAACCTCCCCCTGGTGGGCAGGGCGGTTTTCCTGCCGTCGGTGGAGGCCGCGGAGGGGGTGACGCGGTTCTTCCTCGTGGTGGTGCAGGCGCCTCTTCCCTCGGCGGAGAGCGTGGCCAACGTGGCGGAGGTACGTGGCAACATGAAAGAGTGGTGGGATGGGAGTGGTGCCGGCACGTGAAGAATGGCCCCATGCCTTCTATGGTGCTGACGCCGTCGCAGAGTACTTCGATGCCTTCAATGCGGCATGTGTACGTGCGCTACACGGGTCTTGAGGTAGTGGGGCCTACTGTTTGGAGCAAACGCCCCTTTTGGACCCCCCGGTTAACAGCGAAACACATGCGCGCTGTTTTTCACATGAAACTGGAGGATGGCGCACCGGGTGGCCGAGGCACGTTGGGAAGCTTAAGAAAGTCATCCAGTGCCCCCTGAAAGTGTTGTTACCATGACCCCGTGGTGTGGTATGCGGTACATGTATCATTCCACGAGAGCGTGTTGTGCCGCATGTTGTCGTTGAACATCTCCGCGGTCGGTCGCCCACGCGCCTCTTGCCTTTTCGCAAGAGTCGTAGGTCCACGAGGTAAGAGACGCATGTTGGTTACACATTCGGCACGGTCGACTTCGACGGAAGTGGCGTGCGGGCTTCTGCCTTGGGTAAAGGGCAAGGCAGCGGAAACCTCGCTTCCTATACCGGCTCCAAAAGCTGGACCAAGTCTCTCTCTCTCAATCTCTCTCTCTCTCTTGGCACGCCCCCCCCCTTCTGCGACAGGTGTCTATGGACGTGGGGAAGCGGGGCCTCCGCGTGGCCTTCCGTGAGCTGTACTTCTACATGGACCTGATCGACCAGCAGATGACGCGCACCATGACTCGAGCACAATGGGGTATCCTCGGGTACGGTCCCTACGCCGACCTGCCCCTAAAGCGAAGAGAGGAGGTAGTGGACAGGTACGGTTGGCCTTGACGTTGTTGTGGTTGCCTGTGTTGTTCTTGTTTAGACCTCTGACCTGTAGATGTTGTGTTGCTGATTTATCGGGATAGAGAGATTGGGGGGAGCAAAGCCGACTTCGAGCGCGCCGTGCTCAGTTTTCCTCAGGCTGTGGTATTTCTTGTGGATCAAGTGGCCGTTTCGCCTCGAATTAAGCTGGAGAGCGCCGACAGCCCCGCAACTCTTGGAATTGATATTCAGGTGAAATCGTTATTTTCCTTGTTCCCCGTTATTCGTCCCCCTGTTTCCTAATCATTCCCTTTCTCCTCCTCAGGGCGTGCGAGAAGTACCTGTCGCTGGAGCATCCCATACAGCGCTACGAGTTTCTGGCGCACATCCGCTGGCACAACGCGGCCCTCCACGACGACCTGGTCCAAACGGGGCTGCTGCGGGCGAGAGCAAACGCCATTCAAGGAGGCGAGCATATAAGAACGCTTGGGTCCTTTTTCGTCCCCTCCTCCCCTCCTTTGGTGACCTCTGTAAGATTGAGTAAGCCCCCCCCCCCACCATTTCCCCGTGTTTTACCTGGTGTGTTTGCCGGTTTGCGGGGGTGGTTTGCCGGACAGCAGTAGTGCCACGTTTGTCGTTCTCAAGATCGGGAACGCAAGAAACACCATCTGGGGTGAAAAACACCTCCCTTACCGAAAAAAGTTCGAGTGGACAAGCCGGCGACTACTTTCCCCGTCCCCCCTTCTCTCCCTCCCTCCCTCTTCCCGTTTTCCTCCTCTCTCTTAAATATGCCTTCATAGTTGTGATGCCGGCATCAGCAGGGGATGAAGATGCGCAAGGCACCGGATCGTCGGAGCCCACCGCTTCTGCTGCCAACACGACCAGTGCTGGCGACCTTCCCGCGACCACCGCCGCTGCATCTTCCCCTTCGCCCTCCCCCTCCCCGTTTGCCGGCGATGCCTGGCTGGATGCGGACGCTGTTTGGAGAAGACAGGGCGCGACAACCACAAGTTGCAAAAGCAGCAGGGTTACACCCGAGGACAAAGGCGACAGCAAGAGAGATGGCGACAAGCGCGCTTCTTCCTCCCTCCCCTGCCGCTACTACCTGGAGGGAGTGGTCACGGGGGATGTTTCCGAGAGCCGCGTGGGGTGGTTTCGGAGATCCGGGGGCGCGTGGACGTCCCTTCCGGCCGGAGAAGGGGACGGAGGGGGGCCGTGGGAAGCGTTCTCAGCCAGGGAGGTGAGTGAAGCTTTAGGGTACGGATGATTAGTCTAGAAGCTTACCTGTTGCGTAGTCTGATCGGCACAGGTTTTCACATGTTGCTCTCTCCCTTCATCGGTTCGTGATGCGGTGAAGGGGCGCGGCGGAGCGGATTGGAAGGCATCAGCCTGCCGTCGGCGTTTTGCTTTGCGTGTCTAGACGCGACTCAGGCCCGATCTTAAGACCGGGTTTTCACACCCAGACTTTGCACCCGAACCGCGAGTTAGACCGGAAAGATCCACGGGACTCTCGGCGTCCAGTGCAAGGGTGGTGTGTCTAAACCGATTTTCGCTAGACCTGACCTAGAGGTCAAGTTGAGTGCGCGACACAACAAGGAATAGCCTGTGGATGAAAGTTGCGATGGGTTAGCTTTGCGTGGAGATGGGGCTGCAGCCAGTGAGTCACCTTAGCCGCGCGCGGGTTGGGGACCAACCTGGGACACACCTCGGCGGGAGGAGGGCGAAACCACTCGAGAACGGCGGCACATGCCGCGGTTAATATCTCGCGGGACTGGTGGCTGCTGCTGCTGTTGCTGCTGCTGCTACTGCTACTGCTGGTCGTCGCGCTACTGCTGTTGGTCATCAAACGAGGAGAACATCATTTTGCTCGCTTGTTGGCTGTACCGTCGTGTGTGTGGAATACGTTGGTAAGGTCGCGCTGTGAAGCGACGTGGCGAGAGCGACGCAACGCCAGCCCTGCCATCTTTCCGTCGGGCAGATGATCTTTCGGGAGTTGTTGTTGTTGCGGTGGCGGAAGACTAATCTCACGTTTGTGGGTGGTGAAAAGTGTTTGACCTTCCCTGTTTATGTTGAGTCTTTGATAGGCGAGATGTTTGCGGTGGTGTGTCGCAGTTAGGTAAATGGTAGAATGGCAGTAGCATCAACAAGCAGTTGGCAGGTTCATGTATGTAGGTTGTGCGGGCGCTCACCTGATACAACACAAGAGACAGGCAGATACTGGCGCACGTGGGTGATATCTTTGGGTACAGACAAAGGGCGAGGAAGTCTTAGCCTTGAGTGTTGTCGTTTTAAAGCTGTTCCCAGTTTGCGTCAAATCCTGTAGAAGATGACGAATTGAAACGCACAACGACTGGATACGATTGCCGGCTGTTCCGATACACATGGGAGCCCGATGAACGCGGCGTTCGCTGTGTGCAAGCTCTGCCCGAAGGGTTCCAAGGTCGGCCGAATCAAGAGGTGCGGCGGCACTTGGTCCATGTCGAAGCACATCAACGGTGTACACAGCGCGGAAGTTGTCGCTCGTGGCACGCCGACAACGGCCAGACCATCCTGGACAGCACGATCGAGACCGAACCACATTTTGGAAAACCTCCCTGAAGTGGATTCTTATGGCGTACAAGGTAAGCACGTGCTTCTCGCTCTCTCCCGCGCTTTTTATTGGTCGTCTCGTTCATCAACAATATTTGAAATTAAAACCGCCAACTTACCACCTTCAGGGCACGAATAAGTACAAGTTAGTATCAGAGTAGCAGATGACGGTGTGTGTACTGCAGCAGTGTGCATACAATCGGGACCTACACACACACTTTGAGTCATCTAGCTGCTGACAGTATGGCTGTTGGATCTTGGGAGTGCACGATTCTCAAATTGGGAGATGCAGCATACCACGATATCCTGGCTTCGGCTGGGCTTGAAATAATCCTTTTGCTCTCCTCCGCTCTTTGCATCAGTGGCTTCCTAGATTCGAGCGAGGGCATTTGTGTAGCTGAGATGTGTGTCTACGTGAAAGAACATGTAGAGAGAGTCGTATTGGCATTCGCATCAAGCGCATTGCGCATTTTTCGAATTTTGGCCCCCTTCCAGGGACCTTGATTTTCACCCGCTGGCACTGACGTCTATTAATTGGTCAGCCGGTTAGCGCGGTCGATGCTAATAATAAAAACACACGCGCACACTCAACTCTTGCTGTCTTTTTTCTGTCCGTCTCACCCTCCCTCTTCCCCCAGATTTGTTTCGCATACACTCAACTGTTTCAGTTGGTCAGTCGGACAGCCCGGTCGATACTAATAACGAAGTAGAAGTAATTATCTCTAGATGTGATATTTTGTGTGTTGATTGTTTTCGTTTATACTCTACTGCTGTGTAGAAGTACATTTTACTGGTAGTGCGTTTCGCTTTTTTGGTTTTTAGATGAACATATTTTGCCTTTGCATTCGTGAAAAGACCAAGCATTGATTTGTGTATTGCTTCCTTGAAATTTGTCGATGTATTTTCTTTAGGGACTGATTAACACCGATCTTGATGTTGACTGATTTCGAAAATGGCCGGAGCAGCTCCCAGCAACTACACACGAGGAAGACCAGTTGGGAAGTATTACGCAAGAACACCCTTACTTGATGAACAGCACGGTGGTTGGGACTCGTCTCAACCAGCATATAATTTTGTCTACCTCCACGCACGGTCTCTCATTTACATAACGGTCAAATTCAAGCCTAAACAGGCGACATAACTGATGCTGACTCAGTAGTCTCATGGATTAGCCACGATATTTGAAAAATACGTGCCTTTGGCTCTTTGCCCTCCCAGTTACGACAGTCTCCAGGGCTGGAATCCTCGCCAAACGATAGAATGTCTTAGGGGAGCCTCCAAAGTGCCGAAACTGGGAGTCGAACCCGCGGTCAAGTCTTTTGCTAGAAAAAGGTGAATCCTTGATTGTACTCAGTCATCCGATTACGTCCCCATTGTCGTCGTCCCCGTGTGGCAAAACATCTTGACAGTAAAAACTGGAAGGTTATCGCCGATGTCCGTCTAAGAGGATGGCACTTGAGCCACGCCAGGCGAAATGGCCCGCATGTTCGATTTCTGCAGACTGTTTTGCGTGACGTGGCTCACGGGTCATCCTCCGTGGTGAACATCGACGATAACCTTTTAGGCCTTACTGTCAAGATGTTTATGCCAAACGGGGACGATGACGATGCTGACGGAATCGGGTGACTTCCAGCGTTCGGCGAGGGGTCCGACCCTGGAGATCACTGCTGCAACAACCTTTAAAGATTGACTACGGCTTACTTACACTTTTGGTTAGAAAAAGGTCAATCCATCCATTAGACCACTAGGTGACGCGCATAATCCATTCGGACTGCTGTCTAGTGAATAGATTAGCCTCTATCTAACACAAGGTTTTGCCTAAGGCCCTTTTGCCCTCCCACGCAAGACAGTGATATCCGGGGAATTGCCCCCTGTTCCACGCGCTGCTGCTGCAAACAAGTGAATGGTGGCTTCTGCATCGCCGAGTTTCCAGTTTTGCTCTGGCACAACAAGAACATCATGTGCACGTCGAACCCCCGACCTTTGCCCTTGATATGTACACGTTAGAGGAACCATCCTCTTGTCGAGACCAATAGCTATCCGACAATGCAACTGCGGTCTGACACGTCCGCCATTCACGATCCAATCCCCTGGAATTCGGGTCATCGAAGGCAGCTAAGTCGTGTGAGCTACTGTTGTACACCCGTGGTCCAGGAGGTTGGGTCTGTGATGGCACGTACAGCGATCGCGAATGATACCACCCATCTTCGGGCTTTTCGGACGAGAGCTGCAGCATGTGACCACACGACCCCAGTAACAGATCTTGGCGAGCACACGCGCATTTCACTGCTCCATGGTATCCTCCACTGATTTAGCATCTGACATGAACACACTTGAAGCACAACGAATGCGTGTGAGTAACAGATCTTGGCGAGCACACGCGCATTTCACTGCTCCATGATATCCTCCACGGATTTAGCATGTGACATGAACACACTTGAAGCACCACGAATGTGTGTGAGTAACAGATCTTGGCGAGCACACGCGCATTTCACTGCTCCATGGTATCCTCCACGGATTTAGCATGTGACATGAACACACTTGAAGCACCACGAATGTGTGTGAGTAACAGATCTTGGCGAGCACACGCGCATTTCACTGCTCCATGGTATCCTCCACGGATTTAGCATGTGACATGAACACACTTGACGCACAACGAAATGCGTGTGAGCACCCGCCGTGTCGCCTGTTTTGTCTTGAATTTAGAGTTAGGGATTTGAGAGAACGTGTGGAGTTATGCAGACTGCATGGCATGCTTGTTTTGGTTTTGTGCCTCTCGTGTGTGACCGCTGGGTGCTCGTCCGGACGTTTTCGAATCAAGATTGTTCTCCACCAACCCCCTAAGGACGCAATAGAAGTATGCGAAGTACACCGCACACACACACGATTTGTCCTCATGTGTGTGCTGTTTTCAGCCGGCGTGGTTCTCTATTTTGTGCACCTAGCGAGAGTCTTGTGGACTTATTTCAACCAACCTCTGCTATTCCGACACTGCGTGCTTGTTTATCTGGGTGCCGATTGTGTGTGTTTTTCTCGTCAGTGACACGCACAAAGCATCAATCATCTGTCGTAGCCAATGCGTCGTTTCATGGGCCAACGACTATGTATACTTTTGGTATGTTGTGGGCGTGTCCAATACTCACGACGATGCTGTGAATGGTCGCCTTTTCGCAGCCGCTAGGGACCACGCGAAACCCGTGGTTCCGGAACATGATGGGTTCTGTGTCTGAGGTGAAGACTGCTAGCGCAACCAGATCTACGAGGAGCTCAACAGCATGGAGGTAAGCAGTTCCATGATATGCCGATTGAGTTGTGCGATCGAAGTCGCCGACTGTTGCCATCGTTGCCTGTCGCGGCGCTACACGGCAAGTCTGCACGGCGGGCGGTGATACAGAGTGCTTGACCTCGAGATTCCAAAATCAGTTGACCCCGCTGTCATTTCTGTGTTGTTGTTGCGCTGAAGCAGATGCTGTTGCCCGTGCTCGTACGCTGCCTGGGCCCTCCACAGGTAGCAGCCAACCAGGAGTTGAGGAAGGTAATGGCCAACAAGTACTTCGGCGCCTCTGCCGACATTTGGACGGGCACACGAAAGAACAAGATTCATCGTCTTCGTTGTCCACGTCTACGACGGTCGAGCCATGCGAGCAATCGACCTCGCACGCGCTCCCTTCCGTGAGGCCCCCCACACGGGGACGAACATCGCCGCGAAGCTCAAGGCCATTCTCAACGAGAAGGGCCTGGACCCCACCAAGTGCACCGGCATCGTCACGGACACGCACGCCTCGGAGGGGGGCGGGGAAATACTTACCTCGAACATGGACGCGTTCGTGCGGCGGCGATCCCTTGCTTCTGCCACTCCCTTCAGCTTGTCGTGCGCCGCTTCTAGGGTGCAGCGAAGGTGAAGGGTGCCAACAACGCGGACGCAGGTGCCGCTGCGAATCCATTGACGGCGGCCCCCACCGTGGCCGCAGCGGCCTCGACCGCTTCTTCTGCAGCCGGCGTGCCCGCAGAAGGCGGAGGAGCGGGCGCGGCCGGGGCGGCGACACCCTCGGCGCCTACGGTACCAGACCTCATGAAGCAATGCAACGACTACTTCGAGGCGTACAACGAGTCTCCGAAGGTGCGTTAGGTGTGTCTTTTCAGCCTGGTTCGTCCGGTGAAAACCGATACCGATTTTGCCTATCCCACGTAGGCTATTGGAGTGTAAGGGAAGCAACTGCTGAGTCATTCTACCATGACCCCTCATCGCCCTTGGTGTCGCGCGGTGGATGGTGCCATTTTTCAGAAAATTTTCTCGTTTCGAGGAAGCCCCTTCAAGTTGGAAAGTAGATCGCTCGGTCCGTCCATAACATCCGCCACCATATTGGTCAAGGTCGCTTCAAGGGTTCGTCCAAAGAGGGGTTTAGAGTCAGTTGTACGTCACGACGAACTTGGTTTGTTGACGTTGACGTGACTCATCCTTCAGATCTCCTCCTGAAATCCTAAAATATATCTACCTTCTCTCCCCTGCCTTGCTCCTCCCCGATACATGTACCTCGCGCACCCTCTGTCACGGTGGTTTGTTCATCAGTTCGCCAAGTTGTTGGAGGCTTGCGCCGACTGGCTCCCGGTACAATCGTACCCTCTCCAGCGGTGTGTGCCCGCCAGGCGGTGGTTGGACGTGACCATGCTCGAAAGCTTGCTTTTCAACCGCCGGGCCATGGAACTTGCCCTGATGAAGAACGAGCCGCTTGTTCCCGACGCTGCCAAGAAGCTCGGCTGGGGCTTCGTGGAGGCGGTGGTTGCGGTTCTGAATCCGTTTGCTGAAGCGACCCGGACCATGGAGACCGACAAGCACTCGACAATCGGTCTCGTGCTCGAGTTGTTGGCCTTGCTGCGGAAGAAGATCGACGGTCTGCTGAAGCACGAGAACGGCGCCATCCGCGTGGCGGCCTGGAACATGAGCATTGAGCTAGGTCGAAGGTGGGTGGGGGCCAGCTCACTCTGGACCGTGTATGTAGGACGCATTCGGGGCGTGATCGTTTTGTCAGTGTTTCTTGTCTGCGAGTTGTTTTGTATCGATGCGCGGTGACTGCATTTTTGGTCGGTTTCTTTGCTCGGCTGGTCTCTTCGTAACCTTGCTCGTCCTCGCCTCCACACCTCCGTTTTCGAAAATAAAAACGTCACGTGAAGGAGCACCATCGACCCTTCCGCCGAGACGCTGGGCACGTCCGGCTGCAAGAAAATTCACTTCGCCGCTGCGGTCCTGGACCCCAGAGCTAAGGGGATGGCTCGCATCCCCGGGTACGTCATGGACTACGCGTTCGGAATCGTCGCCGACCTCGCGGAGCAGCTCATGGAGGAAAAACTCGCGAAAGAGTTCGACATCGCCTCGTACCTGAACGAGGACGAGGAGGAGATGGGAGAGAGCGTGGGCGCGAGGGAGACCGGTGCAGCCCATGCGGGTGGAGGCAAGAGCGGCGGCATCACCGGTGGCAAGGGCGCGGGGCAAGCGAACAGGAAGTCGGTGATGGCTCGCCTGTTCGACTCCGACTCGGACCAAGAGGTAAATCGAGGGGTACTTGCAAATTTGATTTTCGCATCCGGCCGTTTTATGTTTTTCATCCAACAACCGCCCACCGCCCGAGCTTGGCGCCGTCTTTTGACCCCAAGTTCTTTCGCCACGAAAACCTCTGTCCGCCTTACCGTGCCCTCGTAGGAGGATGCCGAGGTTGAGACTCGGAGCTTCAAGGGCGACTCCCTGCCTCTGCCTCCTACGGAACGGTCCAAGCGCAAGGATCAGTACCTGGCTCAGATCCGGTGGGAGGTGCTGAGGTACCGCGCCCTCGACAAGATCGACAGCGAGTCCGACCCTTTGCTGTGGTGGGAGCAAGGGCAACAACGCTGGTCGTTCCCTTCTCTTCGGCAGCTGGCGATGCGCGTCCTTTGCGTGCCGGCTTGTTCTGCGTCGTCGAAGCGGCTTTTCTTCAAGACTGGGGTCGTCGGCAACTCGAAGCGAGCGCGACTCAGGGGAAGCAGGGTGGCGCAGAGGCTGACCGTTTGCGGTGCGGTTGCCTGCGGGCTCCTCGATAAATGCTACTGAGCCTTCTCAGTTTTTCCTTCGTTACGTTCACGATTGTTTCAATGGGGCGTGTTTGTTACCGCGGTGGACACGCGCTTGGGGTTACGAGGCCTGGTCCGCAGCAGAGGGCGCGTTGACCCGCTGGTTCTGTGTTTTGTTTTGTTTTGATTTGTTTTTTTTTGTGTGTGTGTGAACGGAACGGCCGTCTTATATCGTGGGAGAACCCGCAGCAGCTGTAGCAGCAGCATTTTCAGAAGTCGGGCCTTTTGAACGGGGTGTTGCGTTGCTGTTGCATGAGGACCTACAGTAGTTTGTGGCTCCTTTCGCTGTACTTGGGGTTGGTCACGGCTGTGTGTGTGGCACTTGCACCCCACAAGCAGGATAAGTTTGCCTGTGACGACTACGACAGCGACATATCGGGGCTTTCAGGATGCCGCCAAGGGTGTTATATTTTTTGTCTTCGTCTTGACAGGAAGGCGCGTGTGCAGTCATTTTAAGTACACTTGTGCCTCGTTCCTTGCTTGAAGAACACAGGGGAGAGGAGGTACTGGACGGTGGTCACAAGGGTTCTAGTGTTTTACGACAAAGGGGACGGAATGCAGGGACAGAAGTTGGGGTAACGCACGGTCTTCTCACAGCAGTAGGACTTGTGGGCAACAACGCGCCCTAGTGAAACGGTGCGTTTTGGTTGTTTCAACTTGTCGTAAAACATGCACGAACTGCTTTTCGGGCTGCAAAAGGTATTTAGTTGCATTCACACCGCCTGCCATTAGGGAATCAATGCTGCACAACAGCAGGCTACAACACGTGGCAACGCCTGCTCTCGTTTGGACGAAAATGATGACCACAAGAAACTCCCAAAGGCGTTCACTCAACCATGTTAAAACAACGGTTGATCCTTGACGTATCATGGGATGCCGGGAAATTTTCACGGTTTGCATTTCTCTCAACAAATTTGCGAAACCCTTTCCTTGACGCTCTCTGTCATGCCGTTGAGCACCCTCAACATCTTCGTAGTTCACACGAGTACGCGCGGGTACACGGGAACTCGCGGGTGCCCATGCTTCGCGGTTCCGTATTCACCATATCAGGGTTTGCCGGCGACGGGTACGGATAGGACCTACGGAAACTTCCGGGTACCCGTCACCCGCTGGTATAAACCGGGTAGCACCCCTTACCAGCGCACACGCGACGTGTCGCGCAGCCATTGCGTTCGTTGGAAGTATCCCCAGATGAATATGGCGCTCGCAACATTTCGTTGCCCTCGCCTGACCGCACTCACACAGAAAATGGTATCGACAACGGGTGGAGCTCAATACTTCCGCGATCGAATGCCCCCCTTCGCTCCCACGCCCACCTCGTCAATTTGGTCTTCGAACTACCAATAGTGTCGACGGTTGGAGAAGGCCTTCCGAGCTCAACCGGTGTCGTCACTCTCTCCAACTCCAGCCTCAACGTCAACTTCGGCGGAGCACCCCACAGCGGGGCCGAAGGCGTTCGCCGCCGAGAAGCCGCACCCTGCCGGACTTCACGGGGATGGTGTCGGAGGCGAAGTTGGCGGGGGGAAGAAGACGGGGCGCGCGGGCGGGAACGGGGCAGCGGTGGCGGCGGCGG